AGCAGCTGGGACCACAGGTGCCTGCCACAACACCCGGCTATTTTTTGGTTGCAGCCATCATTGTTGCTTTGGTGGGCCCGGGCTGGATTCGAACCTGCCACCTTAGGTATATGTGGTTGGCGCCTTAGCCAGTTGAGCCACAGGTGCTGAGCCACAATGTACAATTTTAATGCAACTCCTATGAAAGCTCCACTGTCATACTCTACAGATCTGGAAAAAAAAGTACTTTGTTTTATATGGAATCAGAAAAAATCTCAAATAGCCAAGACATTACTCAGAAATAAAAACAAAGCAGGAGGAATCATGCTACCAGACCTCAGATTATACTACAGATTGATATTGATCAAAACTGCATTGTATTGGCATGAAAACAGAGATGTAGATCTATGGGACAGAATAGAGAACCAAGAGATGGACCCAGCTACTTACAGTTATTTGATCTTTGACAAGCCAATTAGAAACATTCAGTGGGGAAAAGATTCCCTATTTAACAAATGGTGCTGAGTAAGCTGGCTGGTGACCTGTAGAAAACTGAAACTGGACCCACACCTTTCACCATTAACAAAAATTGATTTTTACTGGATAAAAGATTTAAGCTTAAGACATGAAAGTATAAAGATTCTTGGAGAGAGTGCAGCAGAAGCACTTGAAGAAATTGGCCTAAAAAGCTGAACTAAAAAGCTTCTGCACTGCCAAGAACACAGTAAGTAAAGCAAGTAGACAGCTCTCAGAATGGGAGAGGTTATTTGCAGGTTATGCTTCTGATAAAGTTTTGATAACCAGAATCCGCAGAGAACTCAAACCTATTAATAAGAAAAAAATTGTTGACTCAGTGACTGTGGCTCAAGTGGCTAAGGTGCCAGCCACATATACCTAAGGTGGCGGGTTCAAATCCAGCCCGGGCCCGCCAAAAACAACAATGACAGCTGTAACCAAAAAATAGCTGGGCATTGTGGCGGGTGCCTGTGGTCCCAGCTACTTGGGAGGCGGAGGTAGGAGACTCACTTGAGCCCAGGAGTTGGAGGTTGCTGTGAGCTGTGATGGCATGGCACTCTACCTAGTGGGATAGCTTGCGGCTGTCTCAAAAAAAAAAATTGGTTTCAGAGTCTTACTCTGTTGTCCTGAGTATTGTGCCATGGCATCATAGCTCACAGCAACCTCAAACTCCTGGGTTTGAGTGATCTCTTTGCCTCAGCCTCTGGATTAGCTGGGACTATAGGCACCCGCCACGATGCCTGGCTAGTTTTTCTATTTTTAGTAGAGACGAGAGTCTCATTCTTGCTCAGGCTGGTCTCAAATTTGTGAGCTCAGAAAATCCACCTGCCTTGGCCTGGCATAGTGTTAGGATTATAGGTGTGAGCCACCACATCCAACCCCCCATTTTTTTTTTTAATAACCCTACCTTCCTCCCCCCATTTTCATCAGATTCCTGGATCCTTGACCCTCCAGGTGGCAGTCTCTGGTGCCATTTGTATTTGTTCAGGGCAATGACGCATGGTTCTACTTGGCCCAAGAATAGGAATTCTAGTGTCTATAACAGTTTCCCTGTAGCAGCAAGTCTCAGTGAGTTACTTTATTATAAAAGTTCCATTTGGCAGTAAAGAGTTTGGGAGCCAAGAACTGGAACATATCCCTCACACCATCAAGAAAGAGAAAAGGCATTTATGTGTATCAACAGTGGAATATGTTGCCACCATTGATGTGGGAAACTGCCTGTATAGATGCTATGAATCATAAAGGTTTGTGGTGATTCTGAGTTTTGCTATGCTGACTAGAATTTCTATGCATGATGACAGTAAACGATGCACATTTTGCATCAGCAAACCAAAGAATGTATTTGTCTTTTCATTAAGACCAGTAATAAAAGACTGTGGATTGGACATCTTCTAATCATTGTGCTTCTCTAACTAAGCAGTTTCTTGAAAAGGATGGTTTAGGCTCGGCGCCTGT